CGCTTACGAATCCGATCCGAATACTCCAAAATTGATGAATCCGGAAACATTTACGAATCCGGAAAACTCTCCTCTAGTGTAAACCTAGTCTTAGTCACAAAAGTGCTATGTTTAGTATTCTGATCGTATGACTGTTCCCGGAGTTGTCGTTGTGTGTAAACGGTCAGGAATCCAAATATCCTTTCAGTGTAAACGCTTACGAATCCGAATACTCCAAAATTGATGAATCCGGAAACATTTACGAATCCAGAAAACTCTCCTCTAGTGTAAACCTAGTCTTAGCCACAAAAGTGCTATGTTTAGTATTCTGATCGTATGACTAAAGCCCCGTCTACACGAGCAATTTTTATATGGCAACAGTATGTGGCAATTTTTATTTGCCCGTGTAGATAGCTCGACAAATATTCGTTGTTAATTTGCGTCAGTAATAATTTCGCACAGCGGAGATGCTCATGGAAAGGAAAAAAGCAAGATGGCGAAAGTCAGAAGACGTGCCAGACGTGTTGCAGCTTTAGGCGCGTTTGTAGTGATGACAATGGTGCATAGAATAGAAAAGTGCGACAGAAAGCGGAGAAAATGTTGGGTGAAGGCATGGAAGAGAAGAGAGAGAAGAGAGGCGCAAGGAATTGCGACCAACTTGGTGAAGGAATTGTATGGCAAGAATCTCCCCGTGTTCCTTGTTTTTCGTATTACGGTTCTTATATTTCTCGCTGCGACTATTCCACAAACTTTCTTAACCTCGCAATGACTCTAGTAATAAGGAAACAAGCGCATCTGTCCATCTACAAGAGGTACTCGAGGACGCCGCCATGCGGGATGCGTAAATATTAGGGACTTTAGGGACTGGGTTCTACAGATGACGTTGAAAAAATTGTCACATTGTATGTGGCGTCTCATCTACACGGACAATTTTTTTATGCGGCAATTTTTAGTTGCCACATAAAAACTAACACACCAGCTTTTCAGCAAATGCAGTTGTCACATAAAAATTGGTCATTTTTAATCATCTACACGGGCAAATAAAAATTGCCACATAAAAATTGCCACGTAAAAATTGCCATATAAAAATTGCTCCTGTAGACGCGGCTTAAAGAAAGCAAAATCAATAAACTGAAATCAATCTTTTTTTCTGCAAAAAAAGATACATTGATACAAATAGCTATTGTAGGGAAGAAGTGACAAATTTATGGGCGAAAAAAATATATTCAGCAAACCAAAGTTGACACAACGGCATAGAAAGAGTAACATAAAGGTTAATTACGCTTGGGAGAAAACTTGCGGAGCAATCCTAGAACCGATCGCACTCTATCTTCCCTATAAGTTAAACACACGAGATGAACGTATTTAAAAATCAGCATATTCAACATTTTCCAAACTTGAATTCCTACGAAATTTAGGAACGTTATTAGCGTGCGATTTGTATATACGCCGCTTTACCACCGACACTGAAAAACCTTCAGCTACTCACGAAAGGGAAGGCAACAACATTAGACGTGACGAAGTGGATATCAGTTCCATGAGAACGAGTTCACTTTTATGGCAAAAGCCTTTCGAATGGCCATCATTTACCTATTCCCTACATTGGGAACGCCAAAAACAGTTTTCAAGAATCAGCATAATAATTTTAAAACAGTGCATGCACGTCTTTCAGAGAGGACGCTTTAGAAAAAATTAAATTCAGCAATCTTATTGCTGATAAAAATAACTGATCAAAACATTTATTACTTGTTTACCCAGATAACGTACATTAGGACCTTCTTGGGCTTTTATTTTCAACATAGCAAGCGGCACTTGAAGATGTGATTTTTCCTTACACATGAACAACATGTTATTCTTGTCAACAAATCTCTTACAGGTTTTACAAAACTTATATCGTAGTGATTCGAATTCTAACGACTGTTATGTAAAATAAATTTTCCAAACTATTTACTTTTCTTCTCTGTCACAAAGTGTGTGCTTGCATGCATTATGACTTCACAGTTCTATTTTTCAATTTTTTTCGTTCATCGAATGCCCATGAAGGTGTGATTATTCGTAAACAAATAATAGGCCTGCTATGAAAATAAATCTCTCTCCTAAAACCTGTTATTTGTTGGAAACCGAGTTATGGTAATTATCGTGGAGATAATCTGTCAAACAAGTTTCTTCTCTGTGAGGAGCGAGAGCAAAATGATTTGTATGCCTCTTTTCAATCGTGCGATTTGCAATTATTCAGAGGTGATTTGGTTCTAAAACGCTCCTGAGAAATGATTCTGATAATGATGATGGTGCGTTCAATCAGAACGCCGAAAACTAATAACAAATCTTTGTGTCACTCTTGTAAATAAAACGCCTTGTTCTTTAAAAGAAATTGACGGGGAGACTGTTATTTGGACTAAAAATGTTTTTAGAGAGCATTTTTATTATACTGACTTTATAATTTTCATTCACTTGCTTTGTTCTCTTTCTGTATCCACTCTTAAGGTGAATACGGTGACATTTTGTTTAGAAGCGTGAACGTTTCTTCGAACTGGGCATGATGTGAAATTTCCTTTTCGATAGGGCCACGTGCGTCACAGTTTGACATGATAATTTATGCGCTTTTAATCTTGGACTATAAACCATTTTTTCAGTGAATGAGTTATCATTATTGACTGTTTATTTATTGATTTAACTAGTATTTCAAACAGAATGCTTATAAAGCAATCTCAATAGACTGCAGTTCGGCTAGGGAAACTATTTACACTGTGAGAAAAATCCACCACCATCCCACCCCGGGAAATTCGAAGATTTTATCTCCTCTCATGTTACTTGGTGAACATTCAAATTTATTGCGTGTATGGTGGTCGAAACTTATAAAAGCCCTAAAGGTAATTTGAAGGTATAACTGACATCATCAAGTGGCTTTCTACGATCATTTTAAGGTTCCAAATCTCTTGATATGCGGGAAAGTGAAACGAAATAGTCTAGCAAAATCGGGTTGTTTCTCAAAATGTACGATACAGTCATTTGAAGAACTTTCGGTTTTGTTCCTTTGACAGTGGATGACCGGCGTGTAGATAAAAGTTCCCGAGGGCTTGTAACTGCAACCGAAATGATTGTCGTGTCGACTATGAAGAACTGTTTGAATGTTTTTATTAAATCAGCTTCGTGAAAATGATAATTTTAGTGTTGAAAAAAAGTGTAGTAATAAGAAATTTGTGAAACTTCAGTGAGTTAAGGACCAGTCATCATTTATCACTTTAGTGCAGAGACCTTGGTGATTGGAGGATTTGGTTTGTATCACTATAAAATTCCCTGATATCCACTCCCCCCTCCAAGGCCCTGTGGTATTCTATCGATCCTCACCCCCCATCCCTCTCTCGCTCTGTTGTTTCAGTGTCAACTCGTGTACGAAACACGAGGGGGAAGGGAGTAAAAGGCGAAAAACAAGCACGACAGCGTTATTGTCGAGTCTGCTAAACTTCGCATTCTAAAAACGCATATTAATTCTTCGGATTAAGACTACTGACAACTGACTACTGTCCACACTCATCCGAATAAGTTGTCCAATGGTAACAAACCTTTACAAGTTTAACGGGCGTAATGTAAACAGAAAACTTTCCATCCGTTTTCCCAGTGCGGCCGAAAGCGATTGCAGTGTTTTCAAGGTGAAAACGCCGTTTTCGAATAAGAAGTTTGAACCTGTATTTACAGTGAATCTTACAGAAATAGTCACTGGAAAGGTAATTAACATCATAATCAAATTATGTTCAAATTTCGCGCGCGTCGACTTGACTTTACATTCTTTTCGTTTCTTCTTCCCCCTCCTTTACTCCTTGTTCGTTGAAGTTTTCAAATTTCACGCACGTCGACTTTAAACTTTTTCATCTCTTTTTCCTTCTCCTTTTCGTTTTTTTCGTTGCAATTTTCTCTGTCTTTTGCCGTAGTAGTGTAGTATCCGGTTTCAATCTTTTCACTTCTTCTATAACTGGTTTAACATGTCCTTTAACTGGTTTTGTGATGACAAAGTTTTCTTCAGTAACATGTCCACCGTCTATTTCATGAGTTGCAATTTCATCGGAGTCTCTACAAAAATCCTCATCATTTTCTTCTGAGGATTCTTCGCTGCTATCGCTCTGGGTTTCCACCAATGCAAGATTCTATGTAATGAGGATGAATCAATAAAAAAAAAAAAAAGGATTAACAACACATTTAAATGTTGGTTGAGGTCGGCGTAAATCTGAAGTAACATAAATATTACCAAGAGAGTAAAAAGAATAAATCATTTGATTTTATAAACTGAGCTGGTAAATAAATGTAAATTGGCCACTGTAAAGAATAATAAAGAGTTTCCAAAGCTAAATTCCTTATTACTCTTTACAGTGGCCAAATTACATTATCAACTCAAGTTATAAAACCAAATTATCTAGTAATACCCTCCCAAAGATCCAGCACCGCAGTTTCTTAAGAAACTTACCCCTTTTCACAAAATAAATGACACTTATGTCCCCTTTTGAAATATAACAAGAAAGACAGTTAATTCCTGGAATGAAAGCAGTCCCCTTTTCCCAGCTTTGTATATCGTACAAGCCAAGCATAAAAGAAAAAAATAACTAGTTATTGCCGTTAACACTTTGCTTCTAGTGTGTGCATGGCTTTCAGCAGGTGCTTGGGGGGCGGGGTGATCTTACTAGCAGAAAATAGAAATGTCAAAAGACGACAGAAGAATTTTTTTTTTTTTTGCTTACCATTTCAATAAATGGACCATCATCATCAATACTTTCAATATCCAATTCAGTGGGAGACTTCACTTGGAGTTCTTGTTCCAGTGCAAGTTCTGCTTCTTTCATTATTGGTAAGAAGTCCTTAACACGGCTTAACACTGTCAAAGAAAAAGTATACTTGATTTAGTGGCATGGTTACAGACTCACTTTCATGACTGGCTTTAATTTCCCCTCACAGTATCATTCTTGAATCAAACATTGAGGAAAATTGTGATTGTCAAACAACTTCTCCTTGTCAGTACCAAAGCAAATGCAAAGAAAATAGTATAGAGAATATGAATATTAATCTTCAGGTGTAGAGCACTAAAAGTTGAGGTGGCATATTAGAAAAAAAAAAAAAAAAGGAAAAAATATCAATTTATATAATGCTCATTGCAAGCCTCTAGGGGCTTACAATGTGAAAGAGAGAAAAACAAATTTTTATACATTGAATGCTTGAAAATCCCTACTAGCAGGAGGCAGACTGGTAGGCTATTTACAGAGCGCAGCTGAGGAGTTGAACTTGGGGCAACCGAGAACAAATCCAGTGAGTGGCAGGGTGGAGCACCAAGTCCAGTGCCCTAACCACTTGGCCGCGCCGCCTCCTATATAAATATATGGAGTGTAAGAGGTAGCTACAACTGTAGTGTTTGTGTGTAGACTACTGTCATCTCTAAGAATGGCTAGACTCATTTCTCCAAACAGTACCATCCCTTAAATAACCACTAAGGTTACAAGAAAAAACAAAGTGATTCCCAACCAGCGAAGCCCTTGATTGTAAAACACATTCTTTATGACAGTAGCCCAGGAAATGTATAACTAACAGTTTGGTTTGAACCTGGTGTAATGTGTGTGTGTTGCTTGATCAACAGGGTGAGAGTATTCTTGTTTCAAAACCCTGAGCAAGTAGAAGTAGACATCTATATTTATACAGGATAGCCCCTTCAGTGTAGTAAACACTGGTATCAACGGGGGTCCTGTTAACCACCCATCCCACCCCAGGGGAGGACATCCATCACACAGTAATCTCGTGCGTGGGAAATAAACATCTCCTGCCCCTAACCCTGCAGGAGATGGGACCTCCATTTATTTGTCCCTATCCGAGAAGACTAGAATATCTAATCATTTCTTGATGTTATAGAAAGGTAGTACATTCTTCTAAATCATTTTAAGACCCTGAGTGTTGGTCCGGCTGGGGCTCGAACCCTCGACCTCCCGCACAATAGTCCAGCGCTCTATCAATTGAGCTAACCGGGAGGCAGCAACTGAACAGCTGTTTAAAAAAAAAAAGACCATATGCAACCAACTTAAGCCCCTTAAGTTTTACAGTCAATAATATCACCCCTAAACTGACTAAACTGTTAACATGAACCAGTCTTAGCTCATTCAACCAATAACAACTCTTCACTTGACTCTGATGATGACCTCACTCGGGTTGTCAAAATGTCAATCATTCACTGCTACCAACAGCTTACAGTACTTTCTGGGAACTAACCTCACCCAATCAATCAGACTACATTGTACACAGTCACAGATACTAATGTTAGTGTGAAAAAAGGGTTAAAAGTTTTATCAAGCAAACTAGTCTCATTTGCAGCTGTTATATTGGTTCCCTAATGTGCGACAAGTCGGTGTAAGGCCCATGAGAACCAGAAGAAAATTAATGAGTATGAGAACAATCTTTGCAATGATTAACACTACTTGAGCAGTAGTGAAAATAAGGCCTGAAAAAAATTCAGGACTGATGCATTTGCGAATAATGAATTTGCTTTTGCGACTAAAAATTTCTCCATTGGTAGTGATTTTGTGACTGTTTTACAGCCTAGCTTATAAATAAATTGTATTTAACAGCCTTGTGTCTTACTTGTTATTTGAGGAGTTTCAAGTAAAGACTTTGCTTTCATGAGCAAATGGTGTTGAAGAAAACTATCAGATGGAGGGAAACGTTAAAGCTTTGTATTAATCAGCACACAACCCTCACTGGCAGGATTCATACAACGACCTTTCATGGCTTACAGTAGTGCAGCAACAGGGGCGTAGCCAGGATTCTTCAAAGGGGGGGGGGGGTTCACAGAGGCTACTCACCAGATTGTCATGTCGACCTCCCCGCCGTGCATGTTTTACTTAATGTTACAGTTTTGGGATGAGCAGTGAGAGTATAGTGGGCAGGCCAAGATATCGTCATGGCGTTTTCACCACCTGAATATTGTAGGTTGTTTGCTCAAAAGAAGGCCTACCAAGGGGGGGTCACGGGCACCCAGGATCCCCCTGGCTACGCCCTTGAGCAAGCTAATCATTAACCCTCTGATCCCTAAGAGTGACTAGGATCTGGTTTCTCCTCACAATGTCATCCATGAATCACAGTATACACAAAATGATCACTAAACAAAAAAGTTCTTGATCGATAAACAAATTCTCCTTGACAGCACCACAAAAAATATATGGAGAACAGTATGGAGAAAGTGCTTTTGATGTTAGAATGTAAAGGGTCAAACCATCGCATCTAATACTTGCAATGTTAACTATAAATTTGGAAAGAGTTCCATATAACCCCATACATTAATTATGCATTCCATTTCATAAAGACTAAATATAAAGGTTTCTTTAGAACACTCTATGCATTATTAATGTAAGTGGTTGTATGGAACTCTTGCCATAAATTTTCTTTCACAAACGCCTGATTTCTTTTAACCCTATTGCTACGCTAAAAAATTAATTTGGCATCGAATATGAGGAATTGATGATGACTCGAGTTGGGAATCATGCATCTCTGCAAGAAAGAAAGCCTTAACCACGGTAAATTTTCATTTTACTATTACGGCATATTACCTGAAGACGGTTTGCATATCTGTGAATGAATTCTATTTTCCACCTTGCTTTTCCTAGTTATCAAAAGCTTGGAATTCTCTACGACAACAACGAAAAAATTGGACAAAGTTCAGAGTACTCGTGCAAAGAGAAAAAATGGCACAACGATTTGTAATTACGCTGTGTGAATGATACATATTTCACATTTAGGTCCAGTTAAGTTACCATGCTTGATTGGAAGATGTAAAAGTTCGTCGGAATATGAAATCTGTCGCAGTTTCTGTCCATCGCTACATGACGCCATCTTGGAACTCGAGAACACGAGGAAATGTTTATTTCCCGGAAGAAGCCGCGAGCTCTCAGCTGCCATTTTACCGGAAATGACGTCAAAGATCCGCATATCCGCCAGAGAAAGCACAGATGGTTCCTCAAGAAACATGGCGGAGTGCGACTGGGATGAAATGTTCCTTCGTAGTGAATACGATGGCCCAGTTTTACCGTGGGATCGTTTTAGAAGATGGGTGACATGCTTCTGTATTGTGACGTTCGACTTAGAGCTTGGCCAAGCGTTAGAGGTAGGCAATAGCGAGTGTTTCATTGATGTGATTTACGGTTCGAAAAACGCGCAATCTTGCGCACTGAAAACAGCATAATTAAACATGTATGTGGTTCTGGTGAATTTGTAACGGATTGTGTTGTTTCTCGTTTCTTTGTCACAGCTAGTTTACCCCGAACATATCGAACTAACAGACCGTGAGGTAAGATATACATAAAGCAAATAAACGGTAGTGCGTTCAGGCCATGACATAATATACGTACATGTTATTGTGTGGTACATTCCAATTTGATCAACTTACTGTAATTAAAAGCTCGTTTCTCTTAAGCCAGTCTGTGCGTTTGTTTCATAAGTCATTTAAAAGGTCATAATCTGGTTTGATTCTTTCGTAGAGTCATGTTTTAGTGGTTCTGTCAATTAAATCATTTTTTGTTTACACGCCTCTGGTGGTTCGTTTTCTTACCAAGAAATTGAATTTATCTTCAGCCAAATTACTAGGCAATATTATTCTGAAACTTATACCTCCAATTTTTTCAACGTAAAATTTATTTAGTCATTCATTTTACAAACCGATAAATCGCTTTTAAATTTCTTCTCTGTGGCCATGACCTTTGGTGGAAAATACCGCAAGAATGAGAGTTCCTTAGCTAGATATATTTCCGACTCTCTGTCTAAGAAGTCCGAATGATACGTTAATGACTGTGGTAGGGATGCTTAGATCCATGCATATTTTGATTAATTTCTCTAGTTGTCCATGTTGGCAACTTAAGTTGATAGAGAACAAACATTGCATTTGTATTGATCTCAGTTACATGTATGCTGAGATCTAAGAGAGAGAATTGCAATACACAATGGGACTGTGTTATTTTGGATATCAGAATTTTATGACTCATTGAAGCTGTGTTTATTTAAAGCGGTCAGGAAAAAGTTTTTGTTCAATGGTTATCAAAATCTCTCAATTCCTTTGGAGTTGATCAAGATAGAATATTAGACTTGTTTAGGAGACGAGATTTATTTCGTAGCCACCGACCGTAAATCTACCATGACGTTTACATTCGGTAGCTGGGTGACCTTCAGATCAGTGGCTGAAATAAAACATAATTCTTAATTTTGCATAACAATGGAGAGGGAGACAGAAGAATTATGATCTCCTTCCTATAACTAATGATGTAAATATTTGCTTTAACTTCTAAGGGTGATTAGCTGTAAAACAATAAATAAATTCAATTTGCATTTGGATGTGCTGTCAAACAGATGGGTAACCATTATATCTCCTTTCTTCTCTTTTTACTTTATACTCACTAAAGTATATGACCCAGTGAAAAAAGAAAAGAAAAATATCAATCAGGGGAATTGATCCAATCAAAAATTCTCCAAACCAACATCACAACATTTGTATGGCACACAGTAAGGAGAATTTCTAATGAGATCTTGGAAGTGAAAGATTTAATACAGATATGATTGTATTTTAATTTGTGGTCGACTGTTTTTATTCCAATTGCAGAAAACGAGCATTTGTTATCTGGCCTTTCCTGACTCAAACTCAGGTAGAGTATGGTTGTTAACATTTTTAAAAATGTTAGTTGGTGGTATAGGATTCCCAGTTTTAGGTTACATCTTCTAAGATGCAAAAAGCTTTTTATTAATTTGTTAATGAGGGGATCTGATTGAACATGACTAAGATCTGATTGTTAGATCTTCAGACTCCAGCTGCTTACATATTACTCAGTTCCTTGCTAAATAATAATAAGAATCTGGTGTTAGATCTAAACAACAACTTCTACCTGATAAGTGTGAATATTCTCATCACCTATATATATGTGATAGGGAGAAGTTTCAATTTAATCTCTTAAAGGTTATAATATCTTACTTGGTGGCCAAGGATCCCCTACGATATGATTAGGTCGCATCTTCTAGCACCTAGAGCAAGGAGCTTTTGTTGATAAGTGTTATAATCAGAAGTAATTGTCTACTTTGTAGGGATATTTCTCTGGCAGGATGCATGGGAGATACACACTTTCATTTCCGCATCAGATGTAGTCCTCGCAGTTGCCGGAGGAGCCAACTTGTGATGAGATTTGAAGATGAAGTTCCACTAGCCTACAGGGTATGCAATTATTGCACATCAACTGTGATTCACTGTTGTTAATATTCTGTGGTCTAGCATGTATTCTGATCGTGTACAGATCCCTAGGTGAGGCTATTAGTCCTGAAAACCGCCTCCCAGTTAGCTCAATTGGTTAAGCGCCGGACTGTTGTGCAGGAGGTTGAGGGTTCGAGCCCTGGCTGGACCAACACTCAGGGTCTTAAAATAATTGAGAAGAATATGCTACATTTCTATAACATAGATCAAGAAATGGTAAGGTATTCTAGTCTTCTCGGATAGAGACGAATAAATGGAGGTCCTGTCTCCTGCATCTATTAATTAGTTCATTTGGTTAGGCAGGGGACGTTAAAGAACTCACTTAATGAGATTACTGTGATGTGGTCTGGCCTGTTTACTGGGAATTGGGGGAAAGGGGGCATCTGTTATATTCTCCTTTATTTCATTGTAAACTGCTTAGCAGTCTGGTAAAGTCCCCCGTACAGTGTTGTAAAGCACCATGAATTTAAGATATGAGCGCTATATAAATAATAGATATTATTATTATTATTATTATTATTATTATTATTATTATTAAAAAACTGCTGTTGCTACTGGTAACAGCTCATAACATTTTATTGGCTTGATTGGTATTTACTTATCTTTGATTTATTGGCTTATTCAGGGCTTGACACTGCACTAAGGATAACTACCTAGCTAGCTACAGACTAGTAAACATTCAGTTTTGGCCAGTGGTTTTTGATTTCCACTAGCCAGTTTGGCTAGTAAACAATCTGAAACTGCTGTAACATCTAAGTTGAAAAGCTAGTGTCAAGCCCTGTTATTATTAATTTGCAAATCACAATGTTTTGTTAATCTCTTTATGCCATACCATCAGTATGCATATTCTACCTACTTTTCTCCATACATTTCTCATGGTATTCACTTGGAGAATTTGAATAACAATCAAGAACTTCTTGATCATTAGTGGGTGGCCATTTCCAGTTTCCTCAGAACTATAAAGTTTGATTCAGTAGTGATGATGTGTAGGGAACTTAGATGCTTAGAGTTGCTCTTATGGGTTAAAGGGTGAACCTCATCTAGTAATTAATTGTTAATTACTTGCCTTTTTTAGTTAACTGAATGTGCAGTTTATGAATAGTTACTAATATGTACATACTTCAAAAATATTGTTTCATGAATATGCTCTGTGCTTTCCTTTTTTGCAGAGTGACCCAGCTCATTTTTATGGCTTTGCATATTTCCGTCAAGTTAAAGATCCTTCTATTCAGAGGGGTTATTTTCAAAAGGTAGTTAATTGTCCTACATCTTAGAAAGTCTGTAGGATCTTTAAGTACATTTTTTTTTCCTAAAATGTCCATCTGTTTCCAATTATTTATCCTCAGACTGCACAATTTGTCTTGTTTTGCTTGCATCTTTTTGAACACTGTACATGTCCTGATTTTCATATCAACTTTTCTCAAGTACAGGACTGTCATTTCTAAAGTCATTTTCTTGTTTTATTGTCTTTTAGTCAGTTGTATTGATATCAAGGCTGCCTTATGTTAACCTGTTTTCAGAAGTGGTGAGTCTCGTTGAGTGTCTGTGTGGTATTTTCATGTCTCCTTTCAGGGAGGGAACAGCTGTAAGGGATGGCAGGAAAGAAGGAGATGCAAGGGAATGGGGGGCACATGTTAAGGAAAGTGAGGCAGGGAGTAAAAGAAGTGAAGAGGCAAGGGGCAGAGGGAAAGAGGGCACAGAAGTGGAGGGTTGAAGGGAAGACAGAAGGATATATGTGACCTCTCACGTGAAAACGTTCCTAACGGTAGCCGTTCGAACAGTGAACGGAACGGCAAGCGACCGGGTGATGAACGGCTTGGAAAGCCGTTCAAAACGGATACTGTGAACGGATGAACGGCTAATTAAAATTTTCGAACGGATGAGGTCAAACGGATGAACGGCTAATGAAAATTTTCGAACGGACAAGGTCGAATGGATGAACGGCTAATTAAAATTTTCGAACGGATGAGGTCGAACGGATGAACGGCTAATTAAAATTTTCGAACGGATGAGGTCGAACGAACGAACGGCTCATGAAAAATATCGAAGGGATGAACAGCTAATTTTTCGAACACTGAGATGAGCCTCACAGATGAGATCGAATGGATAAACGGCTAAGCGGTCGAACAAATGATAGCCTGTAGAAATTGTTTGAACAGATGGTTTCGTCAAAACGAATGCCGACACAGGCGTCCCAAGCTCTTGTCTTGAGCCAAAGCGAAGGATTATTTCATGAAAGCGTCACGCGTTGGGTGACGCGGTGTTAAGTAACGCGAGGTATTTGACACAATCTGTGAAAAGATAACTTGAAACGAGTCAAAACTCAATCGTTTGAATAACTCGACTTCGCTTTCGGCGCATTCAAATGGATTATAATAAATATTTTTATCATTGAATTCGACCGATTAAGATAAGGTACAACCAAGGAACTTGCACGCGAAAAGCATAGTTCTCAACTTCAATTTGGGTTTAAATTTCCATAATCCCAGCTTCCCTGTCACTCCATCAAAAATGTGTTGCCTTGGTAACTGCTAACAACTTGTGTCAATTACCACCATTTCACACAATCACAAAATGGAGAATTCAACAAGAGAAGATATGGATTGCGATCACACTGAAAATGTTTCTACCATCGTTGCCAAAGTGCTAAGTCAATGGTTGATGAATTTTCTTGAATGGATAGCTCCAACCATTCGAACGGATGATGAATATTCAAGAACGGATAGCTGGAGGCGTTCGATTGGATTATGAATATTCAAGAACAGATAGCTAGAGGCGTTCGAACGGATGATGAAGTTTCTTAAACGGATAGCTCGAACGGTTAATGAATATTCAAGAACGGATAGCTTGAGGCGTTCAAACGGCATGCCAATCCAGTCGAACGGCCGATGAACGGCTGGTGAACGGCTGGTGAACGGCTTTCCGTCTAAAAACGGTTAACCGTTCGGAACGTTTTCCCGTGAGAGGTCACATATGGGTAACAGAGGGGAGGTGGAGAGAGAAGCACCGAGGGTTGAATGAAGGAATGGAAGAGGAAGGGTGGGGGGATATTGGGGGAAAGGAAAGTAAGGTCGGGTAACAGGGGCCTGAAGGTAGAGGCTTGGGGAGGAGAAGGGAAGAGGACATGGAAGAGGGGGGGAAGAGAGGATATTGGGGGAGTGGGAGTAGGGATGGGAGGTTATGGTAGAAGCTGGAAGGGGAGTTGGATGAGGGAGAGGTGGGGTGGGAAGGACATGGGGGAAGGAGGAAATTGGAACAGGAAATAGGTCTATAAGAGGATAAGTGAGGAATAAAGGTGTGGAAGAGCAGGAATAGACAGTTATTGAGGACAAGGGAACCAGGGTGGGGTATAAGAGAGGTGAAGAGAAAAGCTAGGAGGGGGGCAGGGTGCAGAGAAAGGAGAGGTTAGACAGAGTCATGGGAAATTAAGGAGAAGGTGAATTAGAGAATAACAAAATGAAGGACTACTCATTTTCTTTTTAAGGGCAACCTCTAATTCACAAAAAACATAATCATTATCAGCAAGGTGGAAAGTATTTTTACATACTTTTTGAGAAATTAATTTTGACTTTTTTGGGATGTGTTCCCCTTCCTTGTTTCCAGGTTCAGCTCATAGCTCCAAGCTACTTTGAGAATGGAGAACTCACTTTAGAGACAGGTATTATTCACAGAAGAAATCTTATCAAAATAATTTTTTTAAACAAATTACCCCTAGCTGTAGATGAAGTGAGCATAGAAAGTGACAGTTGATTTAAGAATGGGCTTCTCATCCCAGATGAAATTCGTCAACACTTTTTGATTTTTTCTCGACTGGCAGTTTGTCATGATATTGATCAGTGGCCCTACCCTGAGGCAGGACACACCCTACAGCTACCCCTGATGGGAAATGTCATGCAGGTAATGATTTCTGTTTAAAAAGTTACCTGGTAATATCTTCTTATCTTAAACAGCTGTAGTGTATATGGAAACTCAATAACAGGTTACCTCTGTCAGTCCTAATTTTTTAACTTCTGAGAGTGACCACCCCTTAATTTCTCTTTACAGGAGTGTATGAAAGGGATCTCACAGTAATAAACCTACTTATATAATTATGTAGTAGTGGAAATAAGGTCTGAAAAAAAATTCAGGCCTGTTCAAGATTTGAACCCATGACCTCTGCGATACCAGTGCAGTGCTCTACGGACTGAGCTAACAAGCCAACTGGGAGCTAGTCATTATGTTGATTCATATTTATTGGTTTATTACTGCAAGGATTGCTTTCACACATTTCATCAAACCGCAGTACACATATACGATTTTCATATATTCAAATACATTGATTTCTCCTAACAGTATCTGCATTAAATCAAATGTTATGGCTATGAGAATGATGGAAATGGTGTTCATCATGGTCGCCATTTATTTGCCTTTTTCATAGTTATAACAAAAAATGAATTTACAGCATTGTAATTATAAGGTGAGGAGACCCCAAGAAACCTCTGGGCTTATGAGAGAGGCCGCCACTTGTACAACAAATTGATTATATTTTATTTAAAAAAATAAGTGGCACAAATGTGCAACTTAGCCAATTCATTGATTATTTTTAAAAGTCTTGCATTTTTGTTTTAAACCTTTCACTCCCGTATGTGACCAAGACAGAATTTCTCCATTCCTCCTTACTATATCAATACAATATCAAGCCAACAAGTGATGAGAGTAAAGAAAAATATCAATATGGGAATAATTAGTTGATCCAATACCAAATTCTTCAAACTAGTATCATAAGAATTGTATGGCAGACAGTAAAGAGAATTACTAAGTGAGATCTCAGGAGTAGAAGGGTAAAAGCTACAAAGACTTCATGCAAGATCACCAATTTAAGAAGCTCTTGATTGTTAATCAAAATGAATTCTCCTTGTCAGTTCCAAAAAGAAAGAAATTGTAAAGAGAACAGTAGGGATAATATGAATACTCATGTTCGGATGTACAGGGTTAACACTTTGATCTCAGGAGTGACCAAAAAAGAATTTCGTCTTTCACTATCAAAATGTTTTACATTTCTTAAGGCGCTGACAAGGAGAATTTGTTTAACAATCGAGAGCATCTTTAGTTGATGATCATTTTCTTTGATCCTACAACCTTCATCAGTGATTCAGGCAGTAGTTAACACTCACTTTAGAAGGTGGCGTGGCCAAGTGGTTTGGGTGCTGGACTTGTCATCCAATGTTCAGGGTTCAAGTCCTCCACCCTGCCACTCACTGGATTTGTTCTCGGTTACCCATTGTTCAACTCCTTGGCTGCGCTCTGTAAATAGCCCACTGGTCTGCCTCCTGCCAGTCGGGATTTTCAGGCACTTAGTCTACATTGTGGAAAAGTTGTTGCTCCCATTGTGGGGTAGCTTCAATAAATGTCTTTTTTTTTTTTAACTTACCAACCAAGTGGCAAGTGACAACTTAGATGTTACAACAATTTCAGTTTGTGTACTAGCAAAACTGGGGAGTGTAAATTGAAAACCGCTAGCTAGCCAAAACTGAATTTCTACTAGTCTGTGGCTAGTTGCCTACCATTAGTGTCTAGGGGCTCGTTTCTCGAAAGTGCCGTTAATTTAACGGGCCCGATGCCATATTTTAAATTGAAAATTTTAAAGATAGAAAAGCAGGTTCTAGCACCTAAATTAGTCCATTTTGTTTCTTAAGCTAATGGTTTTATTGCATCATAGTAAAAAAATTTAAAATCTCCATCTTGGATGAGATCAGAACAGCTTTACGGGCCCGTTAAGTTACCAGGACTTTCGAGAAATGGGCCCCAGCCCTGTTCAGGGGTGATATTGTAAAGAGAAATTAGATGCTAGTCGCTCTTAGAGGTCAAATGGGGAATTTGTGATTCAGGGGTGATATTAGGGAGCTTTAGCAACAACGACGGCAACGAGAACGGCAGAAAACAATAGGCTCAATGAGCAAAAACAATCGCCCTGCACATGCGTTTAACATTTAGGTACATTTCTTTGCCATTCTCAGCAAAACAACTTGAAATAACCAAACTTTAGGTTTTCTCGAGAATGTGAGCGCATAATGGTTAATTTTTCTTTCTTTCTCCTTACTTTAATGCCATTCATAGTGATATGTCCCTGAATAGTTCACCAGCATTTTCCAAGTGAAACACATCAGAATAACCTCGAAAGAGTTACAAAAACGAAAAGTTAGATTTCAACACGACGTTTTCATTGCCATCGCCATCGTCGTTGCTAAAGCTCCCTATTTTCAGGAAAAATAAGATGCTAGTCAAAGGTCAAGAGTTGATAATAACTAACTGAAAATTTTCATAATAAGAATTTTCATCTTTATGTGCTTCAATTTGTTAGGTTCGAGTTCCATCAAGGGGCGATAAACCAGGCGCTGTGTCGTCACCAGACCATCCTCTTCCTACTCATATTGTGGTGTGTTATTTATTACAAGTTTTTAACTTTTAAATTTGATTTCTTGTCAGTGAACAATATGAGAGACATGAAAACTGATTTGTATTTTATTCATCCTCAGCCACAGATGCCCTCTCCTAAGGTCATTCCAACTCTCAAGGATCCAGACATCTTTAGGTATAATTGCAACTTGCCTTGTTCACCAGTAGCCATACTTTGTAAATAAAATTGTTTTCTACATGTAGCTACAACTGATACAGTAGAACTTCAATTATCCGGACTTACTGGGACTGGACAAAATAGTCCAGATAATCTTGAGAATATGGATATTTATGAGGAACAAAAACTGATTAAATTAAGAAAGCAACATTTAATCCTGAAACAAAACATTTACAAATGATTTTGAAAAGAATATGGTCTACATCTTCACTATCCTACATGAATACCTCTACACGTGGGTATTGACAATTAAAATTAATGAAAATGTCTTAACATTCGCCTGAAATGTTGAAGTAAGTCAGTTTGTCTTTAAGAAGAATATTGCCTTTACTTCACTTTTCAATGCTATAGTTTTTAAAGAATATGGCAATGGATCTTGATCATGACTAATAGATATTCATGAAAAAACTGGAACCAGAGAAAAATTCCGGATAATCAAGAAATCTGGACAATCAAGGTTTAGATTATTGAAGATCCACTGTAGCAACAACTTTCATTTTAAGAATAGTCATCATAAAAACAGTTCAGATTTCTCTTACCTGTACATGGTTGTACATTTTAAGTGCGTGTATTTCTAGCTCCCAATCATTAGAGGTTTGAGGCTTTGGATTGCATTATCCTTAAAATCCCAGATTTCCTCTCAGTGTTAACCCTATAATTAGTTCCCAGGAATGACCAATTTTCTACTTTCAATGTCAGTACCGTGTAGTTAATATATGTTTATTCACAACTGATCGCTTTAACTTGACGAACGTTGAAAACTCGTACATTGGCCGCACGGCCTTGGTCAATGAATATAAGTGAAAGTGAAAGTAAAAGTGAAAGGTTTTCTGAAATTACAAACAAAAGAAGGCATTAAACTCCAAATACCTGCCTGAACAACAAAAAAAACCAAATATTAACTTACCAAACCATTTGCTTTAGCCAAAGAAAGACACGTATAACTCCTTTTAAACTCTCTTCAATATAACAACTGAAAAACATTCGCTAACCCGAGCACATGGCGATTCAAGCTAAAAGTCATGTGACCAGCAAAACCTCCCAAGGGAGTCAGGAGTGACATACAACATCAATACTTTATTTAATTTAATGACATTATCATACAGACAAGTGACGCGGATAAAGAAGAGTATCAACAAAGGGATTATTAGTTGATCCAATACCAAATTCTCCAAGCTAACATAATGACATTTTGTAAGGCAGACAGTAAGGAGAATTACCAATGAGATCTCGGGAGTGAGAGAGTGTAAGACCTGCACTCCATGTTCAAACACATTTTTGAGAAACAATAAACAGGAGTTACTTTATAACTTACAGTTATTTGATTTTGATTTTCAGATGCTTGCAATCTGTTCTTCCACACATTCATCTTTTATGGGAGTTAGCATTAACCAATGAGGTAATCTTGTTTCTGCTGCATTAAATTTATTTTTGCATCCCTGTATTTAATGCGTTTGTGCATTATTTTCTTCCTATCAGCCTATTGTTGTGATGGCACCTTCACCTACAATTTGTTCAGAGACTGTTCAAGCTCTTGCAAGGTAAACAAATTATTTTGGAGAGAATCAGTATCAGATATCTACACAATCATGTCAAGTAGATTTTCATTTATTCATACTGGTGATACAACAGATGGTATGCATTTTGTAAGCTTTATTCCTTTAGAAGCTACTATAATTATGGGGGTAGAAAAAGTTTAGAGCCAGCTGGATATATTTTCAGTACAGTACTGTGTCATATTGTGTATGATAAGACAAACAAAAACTATCAATGTATGTCAAGATTGTCATTTGCTTTTTTTGTTAGTTTGATCTCACCGTTACACTACTGTGCAGATTACAGACCATTCTTCACTATTCATGACACAGAGTTTAAGGAATACACCACAAGAACCCAGGCTCCGTAAGTTTGATAATTTCTTCAGCATTTCTATCTGATTCTGATAAATAGATCTCATATATAACAAAAGTAAATGAAGTTAAAACCTGCATTTTTTTTTTCGGATAGAAGTATTCCATTTTGTTATTTTCATTGTTAAAACAATTGGATTATCAGAGCTGGTCACTAATGGTAGGCAACTAGCCACAGACCAGTAGAAATTCAGTTTTGGTTAGTGGTTTTCGATTTTCACCGGCCAGTTTGGCTAGTAAACAAACTGAAATTGTTGTAACATCTAAGATGTCACCAGCCACTTGGCTAGTATTAGTTGAATAGTTAGTGTCAAGCCCTCAGTGGATTATGCGCTATTTAAACAATAGAGTGTTTCTGTCAAGGAACTATCGGCTGATAGTTGCCCCGCAGAAATTTTATCTTCTTAAAAAAAATATTTGCCCAAGAAGTGAAGCTTCAATGGAAAATATGCTAGTTTTAAGAACGTCAAATTTCCAAGGGGCAACTATCAGACCGCTAGCTCCAAGACATAAACACTCTATTGTCTTTATTGATCACCAATAAATTTTCTTCCATGCGCCAGTTGAAAACAGTCAAAACCCACTAAATGCAGATCAATTAAATATTTGTTCATGCATACAGCCTCTCATAAATGTCAATAATTCACAACCAGACATTGGCTAAAAAAAACATTATACCTGTCAGAATTGAAAAGTCACTGTTTTTCCGATCTGCCTAACTTCGCGGCCATCAAACCATTCAAAATTTTTCACGGATGACTACTATCCATCCGGGTATTTTCTGCAGATGGGCACTATGGGCTGATAGTGTCTCTCCATGGATGAACACTATTGCATCACGTGATCAATTTAGCCCAATAAGAATCTGAGAAAATTTAGTGGTGAACAGCAATGCCTGATAGTTGATGAGGGGGAAGCCTAATTCAAATCCCATGCGAAAGATTTGCTTGTTTTAATTATGTAGAGGTGCAGTGGCCTATTATGGTCAGAGCACTGGACTCTGGGGCAAGGGGTATGGGTTTGAGAAATGGGTGGGTCAATTTGTTGTGTTCTTGGGCAAAACACGTTGCTCTCACAGTGCCTCTCTCCACTTGCGAGTATAAATGGCTGCTGTCAAATTGGCAGGGAAGCCTGATCAAATGCAGGGGGGGTAGCCTTACGATGGATTAGCATCCTACCCAGGGGCAAGTGGTGATGCCCCTAGTCGCATCATGCTACTTGGAAATCAGGATAAGCTTTGGCTGGATCGGCCAACAGACTCCAGTACAGACTTAACATTTATCTAAGTATAAATCTACAAAGTACTTCTAATCAGTACAACCAAATACTTTGATTTTTTTTTAATTTTAAGTTGTTTGCAACAGTACTGTAATGTGTTAGGCCACTCCCTGATTTACCCATTCTCCATTAGAAATCAATAGCAAATAGTGTATCTGAGATAGAATGCTGGTAGATTTAGTTTTAGTCTAATGATAATTTTGGAATCTATCTGTCATTTCAGGCCGGGAGTCATTCTTGGGGTTACAAATCCTTTCTTTGCCAAAACTTTACAACACTGGCCCCATATGGTCAGAATAGGAGAAATGTCCAATCTCGGTAAGTTTGTGTTTGAGTTTTGGAAACTCTGATAATTTTACTGTAATTTAGGACTACCCCGTCTTCTGACAAACTTTTAGTAATCTGATCACATACATGTTGAGAGATGCAGTGACCTATTGGTTTGTGCATTGGATTGAGAGGGTTGGTTTTGCAACCTGGTCATCTCACTGTGCTGTGTTTTTAGGCAAAACACTTCACTTTCACAGTGCCTAGTTTGCACCCTGGGCCTCTTTGTTCAAAGCTGGCCAGGTTAACCCAGGATAGCCCAGGATAACCCAGGATTAGTGTGAAATCTGATTTCAGATCTGAAAGCTCTAAAAATCAATGTAAACCTTTTTTTCTACAATGTGATTGGCAGATGCTCAAAAAGAAATAGTGAAAAATATCCCATAAAGGCTTTTGGCAAAGGAATAGAGAAACCTGGATTAAAATTTAACCCTTGGTTGGGGCAAACAGGCCTTTGAAAAACTGGGCCCAGAAGTATAAATGGGTATTGGCAAATTGTTAGGGGAGCCTGATGAAATACTTGGGAGCAACCTCAGCAATGGACTGG